CAGATAACCGGTTCGACAGCTTCAGAATCGAGCCTCAGGAATCTCGAACAAGAGAAGACCTGTCGGCATTCTGGGGTGTTCAGCCACTGCGGGCATGATACAACCAATCTCGGTCACGGAATACCGGGTTAGACCGCTTCATCCCAAAGCGTCGCCAGGCCTGAACGAGAAAACCCTGCCTGACTTTTTAGGCGTTGAACCATGGTGGGCATGATTAAATCAATCTCGGTCCTAAAATATTTTGTTGGACCGCTTCTGAATCAAGCCTCAGGAGTCCCGGACGAGAGAAGACCTGTTTGCTTGATTAGGCGTTGAACGACGGCGGCATGATTAAATAAATCTCGGTCATCAGATAACCGGTTGGACAGCTTCAGCATCACGCCTCAGGAGGCCCGAACGAGAAAAAAAAAAAACTGCCGGACTGCTTAGGCGTTGAACAGTGGCGGGCATGATTAAATGAATCTCGGTCATCAGATTGCCGGTTCGACAGCTTCAGAATCGAGCCTTAGGAGTCTGAAAGGGGAGAAGACCTGTCGGCTTGCTGAGGCGCTGAACCATGGCGCCCATGAATAAATCAATCTCGGTCATCAAATACCGGATTAGACTGCTTCACCACAAAGCGTCCACACGCCTGCACGAGAAAAAAAAAAGTAAAATATTGTAATGTTTATGGGTTGAACCATGGCGTGCACGATTAAATCAATCTCGATAATCAAATAACCAGTTAGATATCTTCAGAATGAAGCCTGAGGAGTCTCGAAAGACACAAGACCTGTCGGCTTGCTCTGGCGTTGAACCATGGCGGGTATGATATAATCAATCTCGGTCACTTGATTGCCGGCTATACCATTTCCGAATCACGCCTCAGGAGGCCCGAACGAGAAAAAACCTGCCGAACTGCTGAAGCGTTGAACCATGCCGGGCATTCTTAAATTAACCTCGGTCATCCGATAACCGGTTGGGCAGCTTCACAATCAAGCCTCAGGAGTCTGAAACAAGAAAAAACCTGCCAGCCTGCTTATGCGGTTGTGATTAAATCACTCTCGGTCATTAGATAACCGGTTGGAGCGCTTCAGAATCAAGCCTCAGTAGGCCCCAACGAAAGACGACCTGTCGGCTTGATTAGTCGTTGGACCATGCCGGGCATGATTAAATCAATCTGGGTCATCAAATAGCCTGTGGACCGCTTCTGAAAAAAGCGTTAGGAGGCTCCAACGAGAGAAGACCTGTCGGCTTGCTGAGGTGTTGAGCCATGGCGGGCAGGATTAAATCAATCTCGGTCGTCAAATATCGGGTTACACCACTTCATACAAAGCGTTGCCAGGCCTGAACGAGAAAACATCTGCCTGACTGCTTAAGTGTTGATCTATGATGGGCATGATTAAATCAATCCAGTGTTGGGAAGTACCCTTTAAGTACATTGTACTTAAAGTACTACTTCAAGTAGGTTTAGGAAACTTGTACTTTACTTGAAGTATTTTTTTCTCTGAGTTCCTTGTACTGTACTTAAAGTATTTTTTCTGGTATTTTCCGAGCACAGTACGATTCCCACTTTAAAGTACATTCCCCAAATTTGATTCTGTTAAATTTGTATCACGAAATAATGCTTTCTCAGCTTCAAAGAAATACTGAGAGGGATAGTCTACTCTCACCAAAAACGTGAGCAGACGACGCATCGCTCCGTTTGTTCTGGGGGCGGCTTTCTCATAACTTTTGAACTCTCGCTACTTCTCGGTCGGTCAACGCAAGCAAGAAGGTTTAAGATATCAGGAGAGCGAAATTAATCATAATGTAGCACCTGAGACCGTAGTACGGAAAAATTAAATTTTCAAGTCGAAGTAAAAGTCAACAGAAGAGGATGCGTTGCAATGTTTTGAGACATTCTCTTTTGTCTTTTTATTATATTTGAACGTTTCTTAATTTTTTAACACCGCAATCTCAGGTGTGAATTTATGATTAATCATCACCAGCTCGCTTGCACACTCACCGATTTTTTTTTTCTTTCATTAAGGAGAGGATACTTTTCTATGAGAAGATGCTTGCAAAAGCTACGGGGCTGACGTCGTGCTCTCTCCTTGTAGAGCAACAATCCAGTGCAAGGGGCGTCAAACTCAAAAGACGGACTTCTGTATTCGGCTCCATTCCAGAGAATACCAACTCTGTGGCCACTTGACTTTATCAAATATTCTCCGCTGTTTTTTGAAAATAAGTCTCGCACCCCTGATTACCCCTGGGCAATGCATACAAGTTAAAAAATCACTGGGAATTAAAGGACATCATGAAAAATTGTATTAAAATGCTTGTACTTTATTTTTAAAGTACTTTGCATTTATAGTACTTTACTTCAAGTACATTGCACCCAGTGTACTTACTACTTTACTTAAAGTAGATTACGTCTCGTTTACTTTGTACTTTACTTGAAGTGCCTTTTATATGTACTTTACCCAACACTGAATCAATCTCGATCCTCAGATAATCGGTTGGACCGCTTCTGATTCAAGCCTCAGGAGTCGCGAACGAGAGGAGACCTGTTGGTATGATTAGGCGTTGAACCGATGGAGTGCATGATTAAATAAATCTCGGCCATCAGATAACCGGTTGGACAGCTTCAGAGTCACGCCTCAGGAGGCCCAAGGGAGAAAAAAAGCTGCCCGACTGCTGAGGCGTTGAACCATCCGCTTCTGAATCAATTCTGAGGAGTCCCGAAAGAGAGAAGACCTGTCAGCTTGCTGAGGCGTTGAACCGTGGCGGGGATGATTAAATGAGCCTCAGTCATCAAATACCGGATTAGACCGCTTCACCACAAAGCGTCCACAAGTCTGAACGAGAGAAAAAAAAGAACGAATAAAATATAGTACTGCTTATTGGTTGAACCATGACGTGCACGATTAAATCAATCTCGATCATCAGATACCCTATTGTGCCTCTTCAACACCAAGCCTCAGGAGGCCCGAAAGAGAGAAAGCCTGTCGGACTGCTAAGGCATTGGATCATGGCGGGCATTTTTAGGCGTTGAACCATGGCGGGTATGATGAAGTGAAACTTGTTCATCAACTACTCGGTTGGACCGCTTCAGAACGGGTCTCACGAACGAGACCCGTTCGGGTCTCGTTCTTGTGACCCGAACGAGAAAAATCCTTTGGAATCATCTACGTTGCTGTGACGAAGCACAGCAATGCAGATGGTTCGTCACTAAAGCCGGTAGGGGCGCTCAAGGTGAAAGCATAGAATTCAGATGCTTTGTCACGTAAGCCGTTGTGAAGCCGGTGGGGTTCACCTCGCCTGTGCAGTAGGACTGCGTGATGTCACTGCCGGAGCGCCGTGTGTAAAAGGACGACGTGGCGCGCTGCTTGTAGGAATGTGCTGCGTGTGGGTATGCTTTCGGATTCTTACACGTAAGTTGTCTTAAGTGTCTTTGGCGAACTTTTGAATGCGCTGACGTATATTAAAATATTACTTTTTTTTCCTAGGTGAGAAATTCCAGCATATATTGTTTCTGTGAAGACATAACGAAAGGTCTAGGTTGTAACTTCGTGTCCAGAGGTTTTTCAACTGTGAACTTAAGACCAAATCCATACCTGAAAATTACGATCACAACCTTATCAACATTATTACCTTCAACAGACTTCGGATACACGAGCAAAAAATTGTGAAGGCATCGAAACAGCTCTGAGCCTTGTGATCTGCTGAAGACAGGGTCGGATCAAACATTTTTGGGGCCTGGGCTTTTCATGGGGTTCCTCGTGATGATGATAATACCGTCACAAACGACAATTGATGAGGCAGTGAGAACTGAAGCAAACTAAACGTTTAGTGGGGCGAACTTGTGCCCAAAGGATGACAGACAAAGGTTGGCGTCGCAGGCGTTGAAACAGCAGGATCAAACGCTGGGACGAAATGACTGCGGCTTGCCACGCGGATCCCTTATCTTCACGCATGGGCTTCTGGAACAATCTACGTAGAAGATTCGGCCCGTAGAGCATTCGGACCTCGAACAAGCAACAGGGTTCTTGAATTATAAATTTAAATATTAAATAAAAGACGGGTGTCGCTTCAAGGAATCAAACCCTGGTCCTCCACACGAAAGTCAAGCACACTAACCACTCGGTCACACACGCGCTCGCTCGACGGCGCGCGTGGCAATACGGACCAGGATGACGGTGTTGGTGGCGGTAATGACAATGACGGCGATATGTACGTTTCACCACCTTATAAAATGTAAATATTGTGCATTTTATAATACATCTTGGAAGGTTTCTGTATCGGTAGATTCGGTTGTTAGGAAATTCGGGTTTCAGAGGGTGGAAATGACGCAGATGTGATTCTAAACTAGGGGCTGTTTCGGAAGTAGTTAATCGCTTACCAAGAGGCACAAATCGCTAAGCAATGAACGATTGGGGAAAATGTTAAGAAATGCCGCGCACAATGAGCAGCACTAATACCCTAGTTACACGGGCGCTCTCAACTGTCGTTGAGTCAATGACAGTGAGAACTTTCCAACTGTCATTCAACCCAACTGAGTTTTCCGGCGCTACACGTTGATAGGCTTCCCGAACCCAGTTGGGATACACGTCACGTGACCCACACGAAATAGAAACATATTTTAAAAGATGAGACTGTATTACAAAAAGAAAAAGTGTCAACAGACTATTTTATTGCATTTGCGAGCTTAAATAGCAAACAATAATACAAAAGCTTGTTTCAAAGTGGAACCGGAAACGAACGAGGTCGAGACCAACGCAGACAGTGAAATCTGAAACTCTCCCCAAAACATTGTGTTTAGTCTGAGCCCAATAGTATAGATGGCGCTACACACAGCCTGTTTTAAACTAAGAAGGGGACAACTTATGTCTATTTGTGTTCCCTCGCTTGATGCTCGACTTTTTCCCTGGCTTGATGGTCGACTTTTGCCCTCGTTCCCGCTGTTTCTTGTTTTGTATTTAAATATTAGCTTACATTTACGTCTATATTTACACTGCGGAAGGGATAAATAGGACGGTATGGCTCTGAGTCGGCCAAGGAACCCTGCCTTGCGCTACGAAGACGACGGCGAGTGTTGGATAGCTTTCGCCCAGCTGCAGACGACACTCGCTCAACGAAAGTTGGAGTTGGCATATGTCCGTGCGGAGATCAACAACGCAAGACGAAAAAGGAAGCGCGCGGAGGAAAGGTGTAACGAGATTGGACTCCTGGTGCTGTCGGCGACTCGCGAGAGAGAAATGTGGGAGTACCCACGACCACCCTCTTGGTATGAGACCACTCTTCCTAGCCTACCGCAGTCTTTCTTCAAGGCGAACTTTCGTGTCTCACGAGCGAAATTCTCGTACGTCGTGAGCGCGTGCTCGAGAATGCAGCAGGAAGACACCAACATGCGACCAGCGATACCGCTGCCCAAACGTGTCGCCATTGGGATGTATAGGTTGGCTACCTCTGCGGAAGATAGGACCGTTGGGAACCTTTTCGGAGTGAGCCGCTCGTTTGTGAGCATGATATTCAGGGGGTTTTGTGACGTCATCCTCAGCGAGCTGGAGCCACGCTTCGTCAGATTCCCCAAGCCCGATCATTTGGAAGACCATATGCAGCGTTTTACTGCAGTCACCGAATTTCCACAAGGAGTCGGAGCACTGGACGGTTGTCACATCGAAATATGCCCCCCGAAAGAATATGCAGACGACTGCCACAATTATAAAGGCTGGTACAGCATGATCCTCCTGGCAGTCGTCGACCACAATGACATGTTTTTATACGTTAATGTTGGATCACCTGGACGCAACCACGATTCTGCAGTGTTTCGCAAGTCGATACTGCCAGCTTTAATAGCGAGCGACCTTTTCAAGGTCGGAACCAAGCAGATTGCTGGTTGTGACGTGGGTCCCATCATCCTGTGTGATCAGGCATTTCCTCTGGACACGCACCTGATGAAGCCCTACCCATACAGTTCAGCAGTTGACGAAAGGCAGCAGGCTTTCAATAGTTGTTTGTCGGGTGCCCGCCGAGTAGTTGAAAATGTCTTTGGAAAGATGAAGGCTCGTTACCCCGAATAGTGCACAAGGACCTGGAATGCTCCAATGAAAATGAAAATAAGATTGTGCGAACCTGCGTCGTATTCCACAACATCTGTGAGGACATGCAGGACAGATGCTACGCACATTGGTACGACGGTATGGCAGAGGATGACAGAAGCCGCCCACAACCAGCTAACCAGCTAGAGTGACGAATAGAGCTTGTGCTTCTGGAGGACAAGTGCGTCAGGCACTTGCTGAGCATTATCTGAGGCTTAAGTCACCGTAGGTTCCTACCACGTAACCTGGGACACTGTCACTTAGCATATAGGCCGCGGACCAGAACAAACTATGGTGAGCGCACGAGAGTGTATTACATTCCACAAATATTTGATAGCCTACCGGTATCCTTTCAATCCATAACTTTGAGGCAAAAGCTCAGGAAAGCATTACGGAATTTGGAGCTCTGAAATGAAGTGTTTTTTTTTTTTTTTTTGTTTCATGTGTATCAAGAATTTTTTTTTCTCTAGCCCCACAAATTGATTTTGTGATTCCATGTAAATTTTAAAAGTCAAATAACTCTTTCCACTTTTTTGGAACGTAGATTACTGCAATGTGTTCTTCTTTTGTATCTCCACCTGCCGAGCCAGGTCCACAAGCCCTTGAGGCTTTCACCGGCTTGCTATTGTTCATTCAAAAATGTATTTTCTTCAAATAAAGCTATGTTCTATATGACATATGAGTGTGCGCTCATGAGTGCATACCAAGGAGGGCAAACTGGACAAATAAATGAGAGGCTGGTTTACTAGCACTGTTTCTCCGAAAATGTTTGGCTTACCTAGTATTTAGTTCTTTCCTCAGAATCTAAGTGGACATGCATGAATTTTTGAAATTTTAAGGATGCATCTGGATGGGGCAAGCAAGAATTTTAAGTTCAAACTGTATGCACTTAAAACAAGCATAGACACAGGAGCCACAAAGGTATGCTCGTATATAGCACTACCGAGCCACAAGTTTCACTACTGCCATGTAATTTCAAGAGTAAAAGCAGACTATTTCTTTCTTTTTTGCCTCTGTGAAGTTCATTGAAGTACTTATGGGGATTATAGATACGACAATCAAGGGGGCGAACTCTCGAGCGCTTCAGCGTAATGCAACTCATGTATTGGACACGAGCCCTGCATCTTCATTCGACTTTTGCTCGAGAATAATCAATTCCTCGGCACAGCGTATGTCCTTCATATTGCCAACCGTAGTGTCTGGCTACAACGAACATTGGCGGCACAAAACCAGCTCCAGGTCACACTACCGCTCGTTGTGGCAGCAAGTAGAGAAGGTGAATGCTGTTCGTTTCGTGTAGAGGAAAGCTTGGGTGATTTTCGACCATTATGAATCTCACGTATTTGTTTCAAAAATTATTTAGTGAAAGTGGGAAAAACGTGGCATGGACCGCCCGATAAATCGTTCGCGAAGTAAGAAAAGGTGTATGTACAATACTTGCAAAGCAAATATATCGGGGCTTGTTAGGGCATCCGGATTAAATTCGCTCTAATCTGGACTGATAATCTGCTCCATTTCATTGATACCCGACATCAGTCATTATCTTCATTGTTAGTCAGCGGGCCAGCAGGCTTTTCAAAAAGATGTATGAAAATCCTTCGAAAAGAGCACAAGAAAGGTTACATGTGTCGATTGATCACTCTCAAGTGCAAGGTGCATAGCCCTGGTCACTGCGCATCAGGGTGGGTTGACTGGACTTTTCCTTTAGTAGCTAACTGGCCACATCATAGGTGTCATTTGATACACAAATTACTTTTCTCGGCTTTACCAGCTAAATACGTGTTCAAATATCTAAACTTGTCGACTGGGTGCAGGATTGGGTAGATGTGAACCGAAGTCTGAAACTGGTCCCAAAACATTTGCCGATCTTCAATATCTCCATATAGTATCTGGGAAGCTCTATTCATGGCAGTTTGACATTAGGTCTGCTCGTCTGGTGTTCTCTTGAGTCATCTGGTTCAGTGTTGAAGCTGGGGCTGCAAGAAATCATTGCATATAATCCCTTCGTATATAGCCCATGCTTAAGTTACGGTCTCGATATCAACAGCACTCGTCTTTTCTTTCATCGTCAGTCAGCGGGCAAGTGCACTTTACAGAACTTATTTACATCTTGTTGGGAGGATCGGTGGCCGAGTGGGCTAGCACACACCAGCTCGGAGCATTTGGGCAAAAGCTTGCGTTGCAGAGACCAGGGATCATTTGTTCAATCCCCACCCCTGAACGTCTCGATCTGGATGAGTATCGTACCGGCGTGCGGTCTTGTATTACTACTGCGTGGTGCACATTAAAGACCCCAGGCTAGCAGTCGTACTGCACTGGCTTAAATTGCTTAGCTACTTTGGGTAACAATGTCGCCATGCTCTGGCAGACTAAACTCCTGCTGTATAAGCAACTAACGACTAATTAGTTTGTTTGTTTTTTACAGTGTCACGTGTTGGTGCTGAAATCCAAATTCAGATAAGACAATTTATAGGACAGAATGAAACAAAATGTTGGCTTCCCATTTTGTTTAATTAGCATACATCTCTATGAACTGAATTTGAAGCTTTGTCAAAAATGGCAATTCCAAGATCAAACATTTTTATTATGTGACAGAAAATGAGGAAAGTACAGAAGTGAAACACGAATACTGATTCCTTTCTCATTTCATAAAATCAAAACCTCCAGGTATTGCTAATCCAGCTTCTAATGCACAAATGCAGTAAAAATATTTTTATTGCGCCAGCCCATATTTTGCACTGAACATTCACATAACACAAAAACCATCGGGAGCAACATGAACAAGAACACGGGAGCGCGTGGCAAATTACTTGGAACCCTACTTGTGGTGATATGTCGTGGCTTTCCGGAAAGAGAATGGAGCAGTGTAGTGACGAGGACCATACCGCTTTCTCCACCTTTCAAGAGGCCGCTGCCGCATAACGCCACAGGTAGAGTTACAGGCTATTTTGGCATGCGCTCCTGTGTTCTCTTTCATATTGCTCACAACAGTAGCATGGTGCACATAACAAACCATTTCTGATCTCGCGCAATAAGCACGCAGACTATGGAACTGAAAATATAATAGTTACTATCAAGATAACCTGTGATGTAGCTCGACTGAAACAGAAGCACACTTTGTACCTTACTTCTCGACAGTGTGGCCTGCATAATAAATAACAGGTATTGTGATAGAAACAAACATTTGGAATAATAGTGGTATTGCAATTGCTGGGTCCTCAAAATGCTGCGTACACAAAATACTATATTCTACCTTCAGAGGACTATGAAGGTTAATATATGTAAGTGCTAAATATAAACGTCTGTGTGCACAGGTGTTCCACATAAAATACAGGCTTTATTATTGCTTTGGTGACAATTTCCACTTGGGGCATAGTGTCAATTATTTTTGTAGCATAACTGGCTAACTTGCATTTTAGTTTCGCAATAAAGATCCTGAAACGGAATAAAAATCCAGTCTTTCACAACGGCATGCCGGATACCCTGCCTACATTGAATAGCATGCAAGACTTGATACTGCAATTTTCATTGTTTTCAATTCACTGCTTTTTTTCACTACATTGTCGTATCACAGACATAATAAGTACACAAAAATATTACAGTTTCAATGTTAATAACACAGCCCTTTCATGCATCTGGTCTGGAAACTGCCGTTTTAAACCCTAGTAGAGTTGTACGTCACAGCAATCACTGACAAATGGTGGGGGCTGCGCAATATGATGGAGGCTTATTGCAGAGAAGGCACTGTGGCACCTGAGCTTTTGTTTGTACGTCAAAAGATCCTAGCTAATCTAAATTAATCCTCGGTCCTTCACTGGTGCCAGGTGCCGTGTTGGTTATCTGTACAAAAGCCCAAATGTCCTTAGATACACAGGGAGTGCTCAAGAACATTTGCAGCATGATTAAAAAACAAAAAAGTAACAACACATGTGAGCTCATCGGAATTAAACATGGGAACACCAACCCTCAAGGTGCAGCAGAAAAACAACGAAGTGAACGGAAAGATCTAAACTTTGTCTCGTCCAATGATTGACTACTGCCAAAGGTATAGGGCATTAGGCCCAGTCACAAGCCAGTTAGATATCCTCTAACAGATTACTCCAATGTGAGGGCGTGGTAGCGAGGGGCATCAATGAAAGGGGACGAGCGCGAATGTACCGACGATGCTAGAAAAAAAAATGGAACAGCGGAACGGTAGCCGAACTACATTGACGTGCTACCTATGAGCGCCAGCTGGAACACAAAGGCGCTCTCTGCGCGTGCGCATGTGCTATTCGCGCTAGCCTCAGTCTTTCCTTTGTCACTCCTCATATTACCGGCAGCTTTAGAGCGACGGAAGGCTGTTTTAAGAGGTACCGCCAGGTACTCTGCTCTCAGAAGTGATAATGATAATCACAACTCGGAGTGAAGGGCGATTTCGCATTGTCCACGTGCGTCTCGCCTTGCGAGGTGAAAGCATTTGAAGGCGCCCATTTTATATGTGATGCTACTTGTCCCACAACACAAATTCAAATTACTGGTAGGCGGCACATATCTCAATCCTCCATGCACACGAAAGATGCTGTGTCAACGGGCGATGTGGTGTCCTGTTCCCCTCTAAGGTGACGATATGGTTTACAACGAACCATACACAATGCGTCTTTCATAAATGCAACTGAACGTAATCCTCGCAGCAAGGGAGGGCCCTTCATATTGTGTTTTAGTTTAATGTTTTGCTTTCTCGCATTGAAATTTTGGCTTTGCTTATGTACTGACAAACGAAGCTTGGTTTCGCGTGATAGCGAAAAGTGAGACGCTCTTGAACAGCACGACATATTCGTCCACTGCACGGTACAATAAGCGTTATTGCCCCCTGAAAGCAGAGCACCAGGCGGAGTTCTTGCGAAAAGCGTTTCATCACGCTCAAGCCACCAATAATACGAGTGCTGTACAAGAAAAGACGGAGGCCATCGTGGATGGCACGTGTGCATGCGTAGAGTGTA